ATGTTAGGCATATTTGGCAGTTCAATGGGTACTGAGATGTACTAACAGTTGTATCATAAAAATATTGTACAATATATAGTATTAAAGGAGTATTAATAGAGAATATATGAAAATCATTGGTCATATTATTGCGGCTTTTATTGGCATCGATTCAGTGAAACATAAAAAGTGAAACAATAGACCAATGAATGAATGAGTGAATCAGTTCTCATCACAAGAGATGATAATCTTTTTGAATGAAAGCTAATGTTAGGCAATAAATATGAGTAACAGATGTGATGTACTCTTACTGTTAACTATTTTTAATATAGCATTTGATTCGTACCAACAAGTATTGTATTATTACTTTTTGGTATTGTATTTATACATGTGTTCAGCGCTCACTTTCTCTCCCCCTGTCCTCCAAGTCCTCCATATCCTCCAAGTCCTCCATATCTGAACATAATGTCCTCGATTTCTATGTTCACAATATATGACACTAACAGTACTGACAGTGCGGACCGTTTCAACACATTTGTGTCAAATGTTTGAGTCTACGGGGGGTTATTGAAGGCCTGTTGGCCATCATTTCTGTGTCCATCAAATATTTATATCCAAACCATTGTTTTGAGACTCAAAGGGAAGAGCGGGTCGTCACTAATAGTCACTAATATTTGCATAAAAGGCCAGAAATGCGACCCTTTTTTGATGAACCGAAACCATATTATTGTGATCGCAGTGAATACCACGAAAATAAAAATCACTAAAATTTTATTCATAACCAAAAAGTGAAGAATTTATAGAAAAGTGTGAAATAGGATTGTATGCAATGGTAGGAAACAGTAGTACTGATAGACAGAGAGTAGTGTAGAGTTCAAGTCTAACCTAACTTTGCTTTTGCTATCATTTATTCATTTGAAACAATCATTCGCTCGGAAGAGCGTAAAACTCGATCGCATTTCCCATTACTTGTCGCTCGGGTTTAGCACTAAATCTCCGATAATTCGTGGGATTTGCAGTCAAACTGCTTAATGAATACAAGACTTGTATTCAATTAATTGATATTTGATTCCAAATGGACGGTCACTTCGATATAGGAGTCACTCTTGACAGGCATTCAAATCGTGCGATTCGTCCATAAAATGCAAGTCTAAAGCAGAGCTCGTATTAAAACATGAATTTTGAGTGTATTTCTGGCCAACGATTGCGTCAATACATAGGGAGTGCACAGTTAGGCACAGTTAGCCACACGTGTCACTCATCCAACGCTCGCCCCATCGTCGGCCAGCCATCGGAACAAAGCCGTCAAACATTTATTTTTAAGTAGGAATTAGTCAACACTCGCACAGCAATGATAATCCAAGAAAATACACGTCACACCATCTCATCTCATATAACACTATTAGTATTTGACACCAAACATGTGCGGATTAAACACTATTACATGAAATGCATAATTCTGTGCAGAATTGCTCGATGAGAACAAGCGTGAGAAACGGCACTCCAATCGACTCAGTCTTATGTAACACCACTTCACCCCATATTATGTCTCAATAAACCAAATCCTAATAAACACAACAAATATGGATAAAATGCAGTACAACAGAAATTATAGATTAAAATTTATGACCATTGCATTCGTATATGCGATTCACACCGAGAGGTGTGACTTTGTTTTGATATTTAAATTCTTATAAAGCTTTTTGAAAGTTTAAATTAGATTTGAGTTTAGACTAGAAATAAGAATTTATAAATTGAGTACTTATTATAACTAACTGTCAGTTTCCATAGAAAGTGTAATACAATGCTAGACTTACAAGTTAGGTTGTGCTATATTTTTAACACCCAAAGCAAAGTATGGCTAATTTGGTCTAAATTTAAGCTCATATTTGTTATGTTTAGTGAGGCTTTAGATTTTTGTGAATGAATTGTAAAAATAGTATTTTTGTAATAAAATAATATTTTAATTACTATATGACTCATTTATAGTTACAGAATTTATTATTATTATTATTCTATTCATTATTATTAATTATAATGGGGTATAAAGTACAGCTATAATTAAAATTAATTCAATGAATTATATTGAATACAAAATTTAATGTCATTTAATTTATTTGTATTAAAAACATGTTTGGAATTAAAATATATCTCAACAGATTAACCAAAATGATATATAATTTATAATATAAATATAAAATTCTTTACTTTTATTACATTACGTGAACGACAAATTGTTTTTAAACACCCATATAACACTCACATTTTTCAAAAAAATATATATTTAAATTAACTTTGCTAGTTAAATTACTAGTAAATGACATACAGAATACCACTTTGGTTATATTAGTTAAGAAGTTAAAAATTGTATTACTGTACTAAAACATTGAATGGCATACAGATTGTTTGTATGATTAATTAAACTCAATACCTACTAACAATACGATCAATACATTTATTATAAAGTATAATATTAACTTATGTAATTTTATAACAATAATCAAAATATTTAAGTTTATTGATGAATGCACTGTAAGAGTTACCATATATTTATGTTTATAATAAAGAGTTTGATTTACAGACTGTTCAACAGATTATATACTTTCATATACTGTAGTGAAATGAAGGCTAACATAAGCCAAAGGATATGTTAGAGTTGAGATCAAAACCATAAGCTATGGGACGAGTGTTTGTGCCATAAAATCATTGAAGTATAGTATAAGCAAAGGATTAGAACTCGACTTCTAGTACTGTAACACCACTTCTGTTGTAATACTTTTAATAATAATCACAAAAGCATTAAGTTTTTTATCTTTTCATACATTTGGTTCTGTAATTGATTTTTATTTTTTATTCAACATTTATTTCTCTAATTTCTGGTTTATTAATTATTTATTTATGTTTGGTATTTTAATTGCTTTATAATTGAATTCATAAATCAAATATAAAACTGTAAAAATGTATTCTTTTATTTAAAAATGTTTCAAAAATTTCAATAATGAGACAAATATTATATAACTTTAAATTTTATTTCAAATTCTTTATTAAATACAAATTTTAAGTTCACATAACATAACATTAAAATAAGAGATTTAAATGTATTATTACATCAATTGAATAATCAAAAGAGTATTAATAATATTATTAGATAACAATTGACATAAAATGTTATAACTTATTATTATTTGCAATATATTTTTGGTTCAATACAATCAAAGAATTTTTGTTTGTTTGTTGCTAACAATATTCTCTTAATCATTAAGCAATTTATATATTAAATTAATTTAAATTCTACAGCAAATTAGGTCTAAATAGTATCATAAGATTAAATCTAAATACAATAACATTTATAGTAATAATTTATACAAAATTTTATTTTTTCAAATCATTCCAAAAATGATTTTTAATGAAAATATAAGTTATTTAATATAAGTCTAATGAAAAACTAAGCAAAGGTTGACATAAGAAGTGATTACTTTCAATATAAGCTAATAATAGCCCCTCACATGTGTGTATCGAATCTAATTAAAAGATTTTTCTCAATTAATTTAATATTAAATGCTTTCTTATTATCACAGAATTATTGTATGGATTATTGTTTCACTTGTGGTGATTGTCCTAATAATGACTATAACCTAAACTTATTATACAATTAAATACTTAAAACTTAAGTCATAGGAATGATAGACAAACAAAACAAACAAACGATGAGATTAAGAGTTTTTTGTCAATAAGTATAATAACTACTGTATTAGCAAATTATATATTAATTAACATGTTATGAAAGTATAGTCAACATTGAGAGGAATCGTTCATTTGTGTCGTCAATACAGTATAAATCCGTAAAGTTTAGTGAAACCCTGTTTTCAAAAGCCTTTTACTTATTTAACTCAAATAAAAAGATTAAAATAAATGAAAAATAAAAGTTATTTGAATAAATGAAAGTCTAAATGAAACGATAAAAATATATTTGAAGCATAGACTAGAGGAATGCCATTAAAAAAGTTCAATCCGTTAAAATAATTATAATTAAAATAAAAGAATATAATTTATTTAAATATTAGCACAAAAATAATCTGCTCAAATCATATCTACTAATAAAAATAAATGATTTACTTTTGCTTATTATTCGCACATTTGGAGAAAAAACTTTGAGAAATGAATGGATTTGAGTTGAAAGTGTGGCATAAAATATATAATTTAACACTTGAATTAAGACTTAAAACTCGTTAACTGAGAAATGAATGAATGTTTTGATTAGTTTTGTCTCCAAAGTCGGAGATGCCATAGATTTGGCTTAAAGACGGCTATTGTATTAGTATTTAGCGATAGAAATGATTACTTGTGTTAGTTAGGGGTAGGGATGGGATGGGAATGGGATAAACGCGTTCACAACTCAATCCATTGAGCGCCGGTGTGTTGTGTTGAGTAACGGCCGCAACAAATGAATTTCGACCGCAATTTGTATTATAATAAATGGCTAACAATTGATTCAATGAATGAATCGATTGTTACCACCGATAGGTTTGACAGAACAAAGAATTGGTTCCCTTCTGTGAATATAATATTAGATGAATGTGTGATCTTATGGTGTGATGTAAGAAGTGATTGATTGGCCGAAAGACCCAAAAGAAAGTTCACTAATGTTTTTGAAGAGCTTTCAAACGATTCACGCGTTTTCAGTGCAAAACCAATGGTTGCAAACATTGTATGCCAAGAGACAGTCAGTTAGTAGACATTTGAGGGACAGTTAGTTTTTCGGTCACACACCAACTATTATTGCACTCCAAAAGCCGTCCAAATTTGTCACACAATTTAACGACAATTTTGATTTGAAAACTTCAAAATCGTATTTCATTTTTAGACAATTGGCGAAAATAATTGCATTTCTCTCTAATGTAACGACAATTTAATCAGAAGACTATTCTCGCGAAGAGAACCAAATCCTCCGACAAAAGAGTTTTGTGGACTCACTCTAAAGACAAACAAACCTACAAACGAGTCGTCGGATTAGCTGTCAATCACTGAATAACACAATTCTTGTCGGAGGGTTCAGTCAGATGTATGGGTCCTTGAGTTGCACTCTCGACCATCTCGTCGTCTTCGATCCTATAGTCAAACAAAGCATTCATTCATTCATTCATTCAATTTAGATATTTATCGCTCTTTTCGCCACAATTAAAGCAAATTCTTAATTAATTAATAGTTTCTTATTTGCCGTCATTTGAGAAAACAGTACCTCTTTTTGAGTCAATTCTTGCGTTCAGAATATAATTCATTAGTAAATGATTTTTATTGAACAACAAATGAGATTTGCGTTGAATATGAGAGTGTGATTGAGTTGAAAGGAAAGGCCGCCAATGATAGCAATGCAAAGAATACATACAATCACTCATTCAATGACATAATCCGAGGGATGGCTTCTTTGACGAACCAATTTATCAATAGATCAATAGCTCAACACATTTCAAGTCTCATTAATTTCGCAAAAGAATTACAATTCTTTTGACTCTAACTCAACACAAAACCACAGTTTATAGAGAAGTCATACATTCATACCATTGAAACAATTGCTCACAAAAGACTGACTCAACGAAAAAAAATATGGAGAGAAAAGACGTTCAAATTCTTTGAATACATTTGCGAGAGACTACTGTATAGTATGAGAGATTACATGTGCTATAATTTAAAACATTTTTTAAACCGATAGATCAAAACGATTAAAAACAAATTATTAATTACTCTCTAAAGAGGGGTTGTTATGAAAAATTTGCAGAATTTAAATAAAAGTATGAAAAGAGAAATAGAGTTGAAGTCATATGTAATGTCAGCGGGAGTTGTGTCTGAGAGGGGAACAGTACTGAGCAAAGAATGCGTGAGATATGTATGTCTCACAAAACTCACAAAAAATAAAATTCCGCACCGAATGCACACAAGTGCTGATCAAATGCATTGAATATTCTCGTTGACAGAGACTGATGAGACGGATAGCCATAGCTATGGCTCAAGAATTCATTTTAATTGAGCCCTATTTGCGTCAAAACCTGTAAACCAAATGCTTAGGAATCCAACGAATCCTAACATCAGATTACATATAATCGCTATTATATCACAAGTGTTTACGAAGTGTGAGAACAAATTCTATACATTTTTCATCATTCATAGTATAATACTGACCATACCTTTGCTTCAAAAACAAACAAGGTTTTTTTTATTTTAAAAATGCAAACAATTTTATGGAATCATGGCTCAAATGATTATGAATTAATTAGTGAACACATCAAACCATAACAACTAAAAGAAACCATTATTTAAAAGATTGAAAAACCAGAGAAAACGAAATAAAAATGTTGACAAATAATAAATAATTAAATTTTGTCATTTTATTGATTTCGTATTTAATTTGAGATTAAATGAAATGAAAGAATGGGAACGACTGTTGTATGCATTTTAGTGCTGTTGAGCACACGTTTCACTACTGAACGGCACAGGGATTAGTTTGAGGTCTTTTGTAAGACAACCTAATCGTATCGTTATATTGGTCTCAATGTAGAGCCAACACAAGCGAACAAATGAACAAAAGAGACAACAGATATGATAGACTAGTAGTGACTGCAGTCGTGGCAAAGTGGAGGAAGTTTTAAATAATCAATGTTTTCATAGAAGACAACCATTTTGTCTGTTTCGACAAATCAATGTATCCATGAATCCGGGAAAAGACACTCAAAGCCAATGCATATAAATGTCAATTCCTATTAGTGTACACATGAATGCATTCGAGCAAATCACTGCTATATTCCTAACACAATGTTCCTATCATTCAATGTATGAGTTATTATGAGATTTAGTTATTATATGAAAAGTCGGTTAACGAACCATTAGATTATTGAACAGATATTTGTATATGAAATCCATATTTTGTTGCTCTCATCTCCCAAACAATAATGAAAATGATATGAAAACTAATTACAAAACTAATTACTCACAAGTCAGCAATAAGATAAGCATTTAATTTATTTGGTTTTTCTCAATTTCAAAACCAATTTTCATGCTTTAGATACGAGCCATCAATACGTTGAATGAATTGTGAATTGAATGACTCTTTATATGCTTTAATAGTAGTATTGATTTTAATTTTTGATAAATCCTTTTCATATCTGTCCAGAACTTCGGCGCAAATATAGTGTTATATTATTTCGTTTCAATTAATCATTTTTGAAGTCATTATTATTATATTCTTTTATGGGCTTACAGTTCAAGACTATTAAAATGTTTTAATGGTTAGTATAGTCTAAAAACATATTGATTGCACCGAAATGTTAGATCGCATGCATTAGCATAACGTCCAATAAATTGAGTTAAGACTCGGAGCATTAGATGCGGTACTTTTGGTTTATGGCATTTGGTGTGGCCTTTCATGCCTATTGAACTACTAGTGCCATTTCAATTAATCATTTTTGAAGTCATTATTATTATATTCTTTTATGGGCTTACAGTTCAAGACTATTAAAATGTTTTAATGGTTAGTATAGTCTAAAAACATATTGATTGCACCGAAATGTTAGATCGCATGCATCGGTAAGTTAGTGCAGTATGTATGGTATGGTATGGTATGGCATGTATTGGTTGCATGCGTTCACATCATTGCAAACATGCATTTGAGGCGCAAATCAACAAAAGATTGTTCAGATGTTGTGAACAGAGAAGCTGTGGAATAGAGACCAAGACTTGAGAGCAAACTATTTGAAGGAGAACTTGTTGTGAGCCATAATAATAATAGCTTTTAAAATGCTATTGTGGAGAATATAGCCTACAATTAGCTTAAATACTGGCACTAGTAGTTCAATAGGCATGAAAGGCCACACCAAATGCCATAAACCAAAAGTACCGCATCTAATGCTCCGAGTCTTAACTCAATTTATTGGACGTTATGCTAATGCATGTGATCTAACATTTCCAATGATATGAATCTAATTTATAATGAACTTAGACTTCACGTCAACTAATTTATGACTTTCTCTCACTTTTCCATGTATTAGTCAAAAGTAGAAGAAATTATTTATTGGTTTTGAAAACACTTTAAAATAATAGGTCATCAAAACATAAAACTAATAAAATGTTCAATAATTTTGTATTGTATTGTAAAATAATAATATCAATAATTATGCAAACGTTTTGCTATTATTACGAAACCATAAAAGAGTCGATTGTTTTGAGCGCCGAAAAAATGATAAAATAATATAAATAAAAAAGTATTTTAAGAAACAAATCAATAATAGTTTTTTTAGTGTAGAACTAATTGAATGTATGAATTACTTAAGTTATCAAAATAGAGATTAAGTGTTAATCTATAAATTGAATTAGCATTTAATATATAAGAATTAGCATTCATTCACTGCTCGCTTGTATTTACAAGTGTTAGTAATCTCACGGCTTAAGTGATTATTTAGAAAAAGAAAACTGCGATAAAAATGCAATAATTTAAAAGTCAATTTCGAGTGAGACATTGATCAGCGCTGGTAGGGGCTGGTAGGGTATGATTTAGAGCCGGCAATTAACCCTTTCGACACAAAAAAGACTTCTCTAATGGCGTGCATTTGATTTATGGCACAGCCGTCTTCTTGAGCTCGTAATGGCAGCGCTGGCCGTAAATTATGCGCTCTCTTCATAAAAAAGGCTCATCTCATACCATACCAGTGCTCGCAGTTTCTGATAGTGTGTCTCAATAATGGGTGCTTTGCCTGTATTTACAGCCCTTGACGAGCATTGCTCTCAAGACATCACATCCGCAATATTGGCATCAAATGAATCGGCAGTGAATCCGGCATTGGATGAGCGCTCAAAGAGACCAAATGATGCTGAGCTGAGCGCTGGGGGGTTGCACTATATATACCAGTCCTATGCCTAAGTAATCACTGCATACACACCTGTGCGGCCAACTCTTATGAGCGCTTGTGTTCAGACTTTTTACTTATAATAACAAAAATTGAAGCCAAAAATGAGCGCAAAATATTACCGACACATAGATTGGGTAAAACCTAAAGCATCTTGAACCTGGTCATTTAGGCAAAGGGGGGTCTGTTGTCACACACATCAAATCATGTTAACAAATTATATTGGGATCACAGGTCATCCCAGGCATGCCATGTATTGCGTCAGAAATGGATTATAAATTTTTTGCATCATTTCTAACATAACATAACATAACATATGAAACAAATTTCATTGCATTTCCATTCCATTCACATTCTCTACCATTAATAGCATTGACCTCTGATTGACATCACTATACGTTTGGAGCCCAAGAAACCACAACAAGAAGTTTGAGCGCAGATTTGGATTGTATTTCAAAATAAACATTTTCTTAAGCGTTCAAAATGTTATGGTTTTTGACTAAAATAAAAACAAATTTCACTGAAAACAAGTAAAACTTCTCTTTAGGTTCTAATGAGTGCTAAAAGATTATGAGAGAAGAGATGAAGACATAGTTTTCAGAGCAGAATAAGTGACGACTAATCGCAGGAAATGATTCCCGCAGTGAATGTCTGCAGAGGAAGAGCTGACAAGTGTTGACATCAACTCAAGACGTCTTTTGACAATTGGAGACATCAGATGATGGCAAATAAGAAACGTTGAGAAAATAGCAAAACAAACAACTCATGTATGCATTTGGTATGGGATATGACTTACGCCTTCTCTTGAGTATCGAGATGTTGGACCAACTCATCCCTCTTATTAACAATCGTCACCAGTTCCTCCAGAAGCAACTTTTCCCGCTGTTTCTGACTTTCAGTTTTTTGCCAATCTATACATAAAGGAGGGGAGAGAGGGAGAGCAGAGATATTAGTTAAACACTGTTTGTTAGGCGAGAATCAAAAGAGAGATTCAAAAAGAAAACATAAGAATTATTAATGTTATGAATGCTATGAATGCTACGAAACGTTGAAATATTGTAATGCATGTAAAGACATAAAAAGATTGCTTAAAGCAATGATGTTATTACAGGAATACAAGTGCTAATGACAGTAGTGTTGGCAGTGATAGTAAGGGAGCAAAGCGTTGGCTGTGAGGCCTGTTATCCTCTTGTGAGCCAATCAAACATTGTTAGCGTATATTCATTGACCGAATTGATCGATAGTTTAATTACTCGAATCTGCATTCCTATCGTCAAAAGTGATAATATGGGCCATAGTTTGCAATAGTTAGCAATACTTGCCAATAGTATTCATCACACAAACCAATACTCCTAAACAAGATTACATGTATTGCTGTCATAGCTCTCTACTGATGGATCACTACTGGGCGGCGCACACCATATCTTCAACCGGTGACCGCCGATGAATTAAATGCCAAAATCAAAGACAACTAACAATAATCTTAACAACAGTTAGGATCGCCTGTGGAGTGCTTTAATCAGAAGGAAGAGGTGCTAAACGTGTCATAAATACTTTGAGGCACTATTACATCAAAGATATATGTGTTTGATATTTGATAATTCAATCGTAACTTGTTTTACACTTTTATGTATTTATACATAATATTTATATAAAAGCTATTTTCATACAAAACCCAATGTAATCATACTTCGCCTATGGTTGGGGTAAAAAGTAATATTTGTTTCATTACAGGAGATTTGACACAAACATCTAATTTATACGTAAGCCATAAGAAAAGCCATTAAATTTTGTTTCAAGTCCTTTAACACTAACTCTTTTTGCAATTGATTACAATTTCATGAATTCTTTGTTCCTTTTTGATTGCAAATATCTTCACAAAATTGCAATTTATTTTTATTTTAAGCAAAAATTCTTTTCAAAAAACTTTTAGTGTCAGTAATAAAATTTCAATAGAAAATATAGATTTAATTTAAAACCAGAATTCGATTATTAAATGTTTGCCACTATTTTTTTATAGCCTACTCTACATTATATGGTTTATGGAGATAATAAGCCAACAGTTTTGACACATTTTGCAATTTTCTGACTTTCAATTCTCGCCACAAGAATTGTAAACCTAATCATTTCCAAATCGTATTAAAATTATCCTTAAATACAAATTGGTTTCTCTCTAAATAAAGATTAAATGCTAAATGTTTCACATAAATATAATTATATTTAACAACATATTTAAATCCTATTTATTGATTCATCTAATAATCACTAAATATCAATTCACACTAATTATGTGGTTTAGATATCTGACAAATAACGCGATTAGTGTTTAATTTATATAAGTTTGAGTATTAAGAACTTGTTAATATATTGAAACAATATCAAATCAGCATTGAATTTATTGTGTGCTTTTTATTGTAAACTGTTTTTAAAAGTGATAAAAATAGTTGCCAATTTTTTTATATAAAACTGAATATGACTTTATTGAATCTATAGAATGTGCTTAAAATAATCTCAACTTATTTGTTCAAAACCACTCTTATATAGAGGTTGTTATTATTGATAATTAAAAATGGATGAAAAAGTGTTTAATTTTCTCTTATTTTATGTGAATTATTGAGCAATTTTAGAATAAAATAAACAAACAATTATTGTAAATACGAAAAAACAAATCACAAATGGATAACATGATAGAAATAATAATAGAAAATATAGAAGCAGTTAATACAAAACGACACGAAAGATGAAAATAAATATTAATGTAATAAAGAAGTAAATAGTGTAACGGAATATGAAATATATAAATATATAAGTTTATCAATAGGGTCGAGGGAATAATAAAAAAATTGATACACATAATGCACATAAACTTTTTTATTTAAGAGTTCTGCCAAAACACCACTACAGACCAGAGAGAGAGAGAGAGAGAGAGAGAGAGAGAAAGAGAGAGAGAGAGAGAACGGTTATATTCTATACGTTTTTGGCAATTTGGCTGAGTTTTGAGTTGAGAGCAAGTTTTGCACTAATGTTGTGCTCTTAAGCCGCTTATCAAAGGGAGGAAAGAGAGACCAAAAAGAATCAAAAATGAAGAGAACAGAAGCACAACCAATACTATACTCTATTCTGTGCTCTATATGTGTGTATGTATTGAATGAAAATATAGTGAACGCTCGCAACCACTGCATCCATTGCTGTACAATATTATTATGATTATGAGCTGAAAAATAGCTATCAGGCACTGGCAGATCAGACATTGCCAGTATAATTATGATCACATCCATTGTCCTCCACATACACAACAACCCATATTATAGAGTCAGTCTTACTTTTGGCAAAACAGTCACACAATTCACATACATATGAGCTCTAATGCCAAACAAAATAAGCAAAAAGATGTCATTCCCTGTCAGTCGCAAACTTACCTTCAATTGCCAGAATAGATCGCAATTCTTTGTTCAGTAATTCAAATCTTCTCTCCATATCCGCCTCTTTTTCACTAAAATAAATAAACAATGAAATTATTTTCTCATTAATTTCTCCAACAAATCGACAATTTGCTGCATATTTTAATATTTAATTTTACAAAAACATAAACAATTAATTCAATTCAATTAAAAGAATACATTAATTTCAGACTATTTTCTAAAAGGATTTAAAAAGTGTTTGCTTTAGAAGTGAATTATTTTGGAGATCACCATTTATGAGTTTAAGTGTGTTTTCAATATATCTTTTTTAAGCTAAATTTAAAAGAATTTGCTTTATTGTGGAAAATAAATGGCAAAATAGGTTTGCATTTATAAGCAAATAAAATTAAAATTGAAACACAATATACAGTAAATGTTTGCCAAATTGTATTGAATGCAAAGAATGTATCAAAAGTCGTAGTCGTGAACACAAAATACAGTATTTTTGATAATAAATAACTATTGATATTGTGATTAGATTTGGAGGTAATTCTTGAGTGAATTCTGGCGTAAAGAATAAGGTAGTTCACCAAAGGTGGACCACACCATCACCTTTGTTGGGATTTCAATTATGGTAACTATAGGGGCGGACTGGTATTGGTGACCAATTTTCATGCTGGCATGTAATGAAAGAAATATATATCCTTTCAGTCAATGGTTGATTGAATTTGTTTGACATTTCATTCAAATTACAAATCTAGACGTTAATCGCGTGACAGAGCTGTGGGACTGGAATACAATTTTCTAATTTTATGTCCAAAACAGTGGACATCAATACGATAGGAGTTCGTCAGAAATGTGCGGCAATCAGATGAATGTCTGTCAGCGGTATTGTTGGCTTTGGCACTGGCTTTGGAGGCACTAATATTAACGGCTAAGTAATGGACACAATGCCAGCAATGGATATAAGAAATTGAAACTCGAAGGTCAAAATGGGCCACAAACTGATCTCATGAATAAAATCTCGCTGCAAACCAAGACCACCCCTACTCCCTGTCCTACTCTAAGGCCTATGGACCTCACAGGAACGCCGATTTTCCAACTGATCAGTTCTCAATATAAGGGTGTGAAACAGTGTCCCTACTCTACCACAGCCTCACACACACCACTGTCCTGTCCCTTACACTCATTCCATTAGCACAAGTAGTCAGCGCTTCATAATAATGATTAACTCCAACTCTCCTTCCTATTGATAGTAATGAATGAAATTACAGGCCTTTCACTCATTCAATCAAATGCTTTCTGAGTAAATTGCATTCAACCGCTATTATACGTCCAATAATTTGATGTCACTTTTAAATGCAAACAATTATTTTCTCATTTTGTTTATCGGAATGTGTTGCTTCATAAAGTGTTTTCTTGACATTATTTTTACATTGAAATTAGTTTTTGGAATTTATAGTAATTCCTCTCTTTTTTCAACTAAAACCTAAAGAGATGTTCACATTTGAAAAAATATTTTAGGAATGCGTTATGTGTTTCTCAACAGTGAATGCCTTTAACAGTGAAAGAGAGAGAAAAGAGAGAAAAAATCACCGAAAATGTTGTGAACTCTAAACAGGAATCTATTGGACACCAGAGAACTGCACCATAACTTTCAGCTAAACTGTAGTCCCGGACTGAGACTCAAATGCTAAATGAGTGACACGTTTTAGTACACATCTATTGAATGGCCAATACTTCACGCCTTTCTTAAGTATTTTGGAAATAACCCAAAGAATGAAAGGCAATAAAATTCCGGTCCAATGCATGCATAATATTATGGGCAAAACACATGACAAATGGATAATAGAAAATAATATGACTAATAAAAATAGTGCTCTCCTGTCAGTTGCCGTCATATTTGCATTGAATGTCTCCAACTTTTTTTCATCGCTTGTATGAGATGTCAAAAGTGAGCCAACAATACATCAAACGTCACATGAGTTTATTTAAAGTTTTGCAAATTTGACTTTTATATAACACATAAATTACTCGATTGACTGCAGCCTACGAATCGACAACATATTTGTCTAACTTTAGGGTTTGTGTCTCAATGCGGACACTCTATACGGCAAACATGAATACTGTATATGAGATGAATGTTTGGAATTTTATATATGTTTTAATAGCAGTCAATAATAGGATGTAAGGAATGGCTGTACGGAATGACAAATACAAATATCGTGTGTAATGAAAGTCAAAGTGAAAAGTTATCTATGATTTAGTAAAACATTAATATTTTTATGCATCACTTTTTAAGAGCTTCTCGAGCCCTGAGGCAAACCACTGGCGCTATGCTGTCTGGAAAGTGCTATTTATTTGACTCATTTGCCCCACACTTCTTAAGGTGTTATAAGAAAGCATTTGTAAGGCCAGGTGCATGAAGGGCATAGGCACTGGTATCTCATACACACAGAGTAAAACCATTGCGAGTTTTGCACGAGAATGTATTTCCTATTTAAATGTTAAACAAGTTCTGAGTTTTGCTTTAAAACCAATCTTCAGGTTTATTACAATCTTTGTATCAATTAATTAATATATGACTCAATAATGCATTTTAACGATTGATAAGAATTCCATTGAAATAATGCATAATTTCTTATTTAACAGATAATGGACAGGTAGACAAAATATTTTCACGGCCTATGGTATCAATATAATGAAGAGTAGATTAGAAAAATAGTTTGCTCTGGAATTTAGAGCTCTCAATAACAAGTGAATTGAGAGAAAATGATTAATTAATAAGTTTTTATTGTGTGAGAAATTGTATCGCAGAGTGAATCATGTGAACGAATGTAGAGTCGGAGGATCCGAGGACTACAAGTTAAGGGTCGCTCTTATGTTATATTACATTCAATATCTATATAGCTCTCAAAATTGTGAGTTATATTTTGTTTTGTTTCACTGACAGAGGGGAGAGAGAGAGAGAGAGAGATGGAGAGAGAGCGAGAGAGAGAGATGGTGATGGTGTAGCTCATGTATGTATGTATCGGTGTATTTGGTCCCGAGTGATAAGGGATTTGCTAAAAGAAGATTATAATGATTATAATAATGGCCACATAAGCACTAATGAGTTGTGCCTATAATAAGAATGTTCTGCACTTTGCGAGCGTATGAATGGAGAGCACAGACCCTATAAGAGGTAATCCCAATCAATTAGAGATGAAATAAAGTCGATTCCATGCGAAACCTTAACAGTGGCCTCCAATATACCATATCTACAGTTCGACAGTAGTGTCTATTTTTGGACAACTTTTCATTCATACAAATCAACTAACAGTCAAATTCTTGACATTTTCTTTTGTCGATAATTTTACTACATTTTGTGTTTAGAATCTAAACTTTTATGACTTTTATAACTCTGCATATGCTATACGACTATTGGGAAAATCAATGACTCTTTTTTAATTGATTCTTAAAATTCAAACCAAAACTAAGTCTTAATACCATTTAAATAAAAAAGAAAAGGCAAATGGAAACGAAAGTAAACTGAGATTTGTCTCCAAAAAAGACTAAAACAAACAAAAACTAAAATAAAGTAAAGACTAATAAGAAAGAAAACTCTTACAGAATATTGAGTTGCATTTGTCTTCGTATGACTGCATTCCTCTTATTCACCAAAACGAACCACTTCTGCATCAGTCGCTCTTCCTCTCCCTTAGCGCCTCCTATTGCACACCAAACAGAATAAAGTCATTTCGTTTCAACAATTTATAACAAAGTATTAAAAAAAGTTTTTTAAAAAGAAGATTAAACTAAATCGTTAAGTCGAGCGTAAAGTTTGTTTTGGGATTAGAGCTACAAATATGAATATATAATATACGGTATATATTATATTAGGCGGATATATTAAAACAAACACTCAATATTCATATTAAAGTTGGATTTAAAGGGAAACAAATGTCTTATCGATTGATACCCGTCTCCATTATCCTGCGGAGTCTCTTCTCGAGAAAGTGTGCCTCTCTGTCGATCTGTTCCTCTTCCCGCTCGAGTGCATCGAAAAAGTCATTTCGTTTCAACAATTTATAACAAAGTATTAAAAAAAGTTTTTTAAAAAGAAGATTAAACTAAATCGTTAAGTCGAGCGTAAAGTTTGTTTTGGGATTAGAGCTACAAATATGAATATATTATAGGATATATTAAAACAAACACTCAATATTCATATTAAAAGTTGGATTTAAAGGGAAACAAATGTCTTATCGATTGATACCCGTCTCCATTATCCTGCGGAGTCTCTTCTCGAGAAAGTGTGCCTCTCTGTCGATCTGTTCCTCTTCCCGCTCGAGTGCATCGATTTCATTGCATACATAAGACGACGGAATCTGCTTTCTATTCATTGCGTTCATGTTATCAACGGTCGCCACAACCCTATTGTCTCTATTGTCCACTTCCTCTTCGTTTCCGTTCACTTCTGATTCCATAACAAAAGGAAAACCGATTATGAGATTAATTCATTCAAATCACACCAATGAATGGAGAAATAAAAGTTTTGAGAAAAAGTTTGCGATTAAATCAAATGAAAATTAATTCTCACCACTAATTGGCTTTTTGAATTGATAAAAGTTAAAGTGACGGACTTTGCCTATCAGTGCAACCAATTCAGACAATACATGCAATAAAACAAAATCATTAATATTTGTGAGCTTGGTCATTCATGTCATTAGTTTCTATTGGTTTCCATTTCGTTTCACTAATCATTTCAAATCAAATATAAAATACTAAAAAACAAATAATCAGGCAATTATTCATTCAAAACAATTCATTGAATTAAAGTTTTGATCAGTTCTCTGAATTTTAAAATATTTTGTTAATTTGAATATTTATATAATAATGAGAATATTATTCCTAAATAACTTTTATCCTTCAATTTATGTGATAAATATTTGTGAATTGTGCGAAAAGTGTTGTGCACTAACTGTAAGGTTTATTGTGTTCATAAAACTTCTTTCAAAACTTTAATTCCATATAAAAGTCGGACAATAAATAAGATA